TGCTGTAGATGCTGTAGGCTCTAGTGATAGTGAAGAGGATCTTGAGGATGAAGAGGATGATGATGATGATGATGATATGTTTAGTCAGTGCCCCTGTAAACGCTGCATACATCATGATGATGATTGTCCTTGCCTGCTAGAAATTGTTCAGTCTTTACCGCATAGTGACGCTGACCGTTCAGATTTTTTCCTCACAGACACCCTGAAAAATCAGTTTTTTCTTAAACACCTCCATTGACTGATCAGCCATGCACTCTCTCCTAAGGTTGACCAGTCAGCCTACGCCAAAACGAATCTGAGGGCCTGGTCGGAAGGCTGATTTTTCAGACATGGGGATAATGTATGGGCTGATATTTCAGCTTTTTTTTTAGTGTATGGGCTGATATTTCAGCGATTTTTTACAAGTGTACACTGATTGATCAGCGTAATAACGAGGGTGTAGGCTGAAATCGCGCTATTACTGATTCGTGTCGGAGCTGCGAGTCTAGGAACATCCCCTGTCAATCACGCCGAAGTTGACACCTACAGTGCTGATGCAGCGGGAAATCAAATTTTCCCGATGCGTCGGTTTGGTACAGAAGTTTTGCAGCAGAACAACGCCGCACAGTAAAGCACCGCGTGCCCCCACGTCAAGCACCCCCACCTCACCCACGACACATCATTGAAAAAGGACTACAACTTTTTTCAGCCTTGGTTTTCAAGTGAGGCTGATTAGTCAGCCTTTTTTTTACCCAGGACACTGATTTTTCAGCTTTTTTTTTTGGTACAACACGGACTGTTCAGCCTAGGCAAAAACGAATCTGAGGCCCTGGATGCTAGGTTTTTTTCATATCTGATTACGCAGGTCAGCAGATAGTGACGCTATTGTACATACCGTATTTACCCGGGTAATAAACCCGGGGGTCTAATCCTACCCCGGGAAAAGAAGGGGGGTGGGGCTATTAAGTGGGTGTAAATTCAATAGGCCCGGGGTCTAATCCTATGTGCAATCGAAGTTACTTAGTCATGGAAAATACTAGTGTTCCGACCCCAGAAGCGAGAATCCCAATGTTGCGGCAGGAATTCTTTTACCACACCCTGACGCGAGGCACGCGCGCGTCAAATTCTGCAGTCAACTCAGTCAAATTTCACTACAGTAAGCTGTCACTTCCTACAATCTCGCTAGAAATGGAAGTGTATACAGTGAGGGGGGGTCTAATCCGGATTCGTTACAAAACGGGGTGACTATTATAAAAGTGCACATAGCATTAGAACCCCCCCCCCCCCCCCCTATTTAACGACCCGGTGGTCTATAATTTTGGGGGGTCCATTACCCGGGTAAATACGGTAACTGTTACTCATGCAATGGAGCGAGATAGCGAGGATTGCACTAGGTGTCAAACGAGTACAAAGTATGAGCGAAGGCATGAGCGAATACTTATACGCGAAACATGCAAACGGTAACGCGGTGCGTGCGAGCTAGCTAGTGCTAGGCTGGCATCGAGGTTCGGGCTAGTCCCGAAGCGTAGGCCGACTCGGCCGGGCCAGCGGTGCATGGTTTGGTGAAACAGTGCGCGCGAAGTTGGCGAAGCCCTGTTAGCAGTAACGGGCGAACAACGGCTGCTGCTGTACGCGATGTTGACGTACGCGGTAAGGAATTGCGAGAAAATTTCTTACACTCCCCCCCCCCCCTCCCCCCTCCCCATAAGAAGCCCCCTTCGCTATGCGAGTGCGTGTATATCGCGGAAACTCCGGTTCCTCAGGTACACTTGCAGGGCAGGGTGGTTTTCAATGTTGGCCAGGGGCACCCAGCTGTTGGCGTGCGGTGCTTCCAGCCAACGAGGAACTCGATCCTCCAAATGCTTATGGAGTGCCGAATCAGATGGCTCAAAATCTTCTGGGGCTCAAAATCTTCTGGGGTGTCGAATCCGATTCAAGGCGAGTCATGGATGGCGGGCGGTGGCCAGGCGATTGGCTTGTGGTTGGGATGTGCGGGCGAAGTAGGCTGACGTGGAAAGGTGGGCTTACTAGTGTGTTGGCAACAGTTTGTGGGCGACAACTGGGGTGATCATGTGGCTGATTTGGAATGGTCCACAGTAGCGCGGTCGCAGTTTCAGAACGACGGGCAGCTGCGGTCTACACTCTAAAAGGGATTTTCTAGGGGTAATCTAAGTGCACACCCTTTGGCGCAAGATGATTCGAGAGCGAATTGAGCTTCTTCACCAAACACCTGTGCGGTTTGCTTGGGGGAAGCAATTGGCTGAACGACGGAAAATCCTGGGCCCGACACAAACAAAACAGCCTCAAAACGGGGTCGCGTAGGCATGTTTATAGTTAGAATTCTAACTATGAGCTACTCGCACATCTGCTAACGACCCTCATGCTCCGCAATCCAGGGTTCATGATACGAATAACCCACATCATCCAGCTACCCTCGCTACCTATGCGAGAAACATCTCGCCACGTTCTCACCCATCGCGTCGCACCTGGCACTAACTTCCCGTCGCCTCGTCGCTGCCACGTCACCCCGCGGCATCCTCACCGCGACTAGAATAGGGGTCTCGCGACGCCTAGGTCGATGTGGACTCCTCGCATGACGCCGTCACGCGGGAGGCTATCCCGTAGGTCGTTAGAGTTGGAGCTACGCCGCGTCACGGGGCGACCGCATCGCCTCGTTGCCACCACCACACCTGATCATCTCCACCCTCTCATATCGCTGCTTACCCCCACTCATATCGCACCTACTCACATGGTTGCTCATTCCCGTCCGCGTCTGCGAGCCGCGCCGCATGGTCACACCAGTCCGCACCTCTCACGGTGACGCTGCAGCCCCCAGTCCGTGTCATGCATGTTGATTGCAGCTCACACCCGACCGCCACATCGCAAAAATGTGAAAATGCGGGTCTGAGAAGGGGGGGGGGGGGGTCTGTTTTGGGGTTGAAATCAGCATCGTAAATGGTTGTTCACAATGAACATTGCCCGACTAGGTTATCTAGCTGGTTTACAACCTAGAAACTGTTGCGAACTATCACGAACACTCGTTTACTGTGCAAATTTGTTTTGCGGCATTTCACCAGGTTCGGATTCACCCCGTCGATGGGCGTTCACTGTCGTTCATCTGCACTGCTTGAAGTTTGTCGCCGTGTCACTGTTCACTCGCCCATAAACCAGGGCTTCTTGCTCGTTTATACAATGTTACTATTTCTTGTTAGAACATTGTGTTGTGTAGACTGTAGTGGGGTAGCCTATATGGGGTACAACCCAGTTTAGGGTTAGTACTTGTACCACACTAATGCATAGATCATTCATTCCTGCTCATTTATTCTGACATGGTTTCAGAGCAGTAGGTCCGTAGGACCGTTTTTTTTTTTCCGGACCCACCATTAGCTAGTGACCGACTGCGGTTACCGCGCTACCCCACGCCCTGCCCTGCGTCGCGCTGCCCCGCGCACGCCCTGCCCTGCGTCGCGCCGCCCCGCGCACGCCCTGCCCTGCCCTGCGTCGCGCTGCCCCGCGCACGCCCTGCCCTGCATCGCCCTGACCGTCGCGTCGCCCTAGGACCCGCGCGACGCCCTGCCCTGCCCGTCGCGTCGCCCTAGGACCCGCGCGACGCCCTGCCCTGCCCGTCGCGTCGCCCTAGGACCCGCACGACACCCTGCCCTGCCCGTCGCGTCGCCCTAGGACCCGCGCGACGCCCTGCCCTGCCCGTCGCGTCGCCCTAGGACCCGCGCGACGCCCTGCCCTGCCCGTCGCGTCGCCCTAGGACCCGCGCGACGCCCTGCCCTGCCCGTCGCGTCGCCCTAGGACCCGCGCGACGCCCTGCCCTGCTCGTTGCGTCGCCCTAGGGCCAGCGCGCCGCCCACTGCAGCCCGCGCACCGCCCTGCTGGTCGCACGCCGTCACTTCCTGCCCGCGTGCTACGCTTCCGTGTCAACGCACTACCTTACCCTGGCTGCTTGCCGCCCTTCCGTGACCGTGTACCACACGCTCTACCCTAGGGCCTGCTCGCCGTCCTGCCCTCACTGAGTGCTGCCCTGCTGGTCCGCTATGACTTCTCTTCGTGGTAGCGGTAGGAGCGGTGGCAGCGGTGGTGACATCAGTTGGAGTGGTGGCGGCGGCCGTAGTGGCAGTCGCGGTGGAGCTGTTCAGTGGGGAGTTTCTGGCGGTGGCCAGATGCAGCCGCAGCGGCGTCCGCGCGAGACCCTTACGTCTCAGCAGCTTCGTGAGTGGTTAGCGCAGCGGGATTCTGGGTGTACTACTCGCTGCCCGTACGTCATTCGCACAGGTGATCGGGCTGGTCAGACCTGCGGGACATTTGGCCACACACAGTCCCGCTGTTTTGCCTATCTGAGCGACGCCTGGCGCGCAGAGTTTGGTGTCTCGTCTGAGCTCCCCCACTGGATAGAGCTGCGTCGGCGCGGTGTGGATATATTTGCTCTAGACTATGACACTATCCTTACGGCCAGGTACGCTTTGCCTGGTGGTACTGACGATGACTGCTACCTGTGTGTGCCACCCGACCGAGGTATAGCGGCTGCTGCTCTAGGTGCTAGTGAGTCTGCTCTCTCTGGTATAGATGCTGCTGCTCTGGGTACTAGTGAGTCTGCTCTCTCTGGTACTGCGCCTGCTGAGGCCTTGCACACCTTCACACTTGACTCAGGTGCTTCCCGCTGCTTCTTTCGCGACAGTACCACAGTCACACCACTCCCTGCACCTGTTGTTGTCTCTCTTGCTGACCCCTCCGGGGGCCCAGTTCTTGCACGTTCCTCCACTGTTCTCCCGTGTCCGGCGGTTCCGTCTGGCTCACTGACAGGTCTTCACCTCCCCTCGTTCTCTACGAACTTGGTGAGTAACGCCGTCCTTCAGGATGCTGGGGTTGATACCTTTACCCCTGGAGGACAGCGTGTGGCAATCTGCACGTGTGCACGGACGGGCCGTCACCTGGCCACGTTCACCCGTCGGCCTGGGTCGAGCCTGTACACACTGACTACTGAGCCTCCTCAGGTCGCTGCGTCTGGTCAGATGTATGCGTTAGGTCAACTGTCAGCCCCTTGTTCGTGTCGCCTCCTTTCGCACCAGACTCTCCTCTGGCACCACCGCCTTGGTCACCCCTCCCTGCCACGCCTCCGTGGCATGCACTCCCGCCTCCTTGTCTCTGGCCTTCCCAGGTCTCTGCCCCCCCTCCCGCGCTCGCCTGCCCCGCCCTGCCTTCCTTGCGTCGAGGGGCGGCAGCGCGACGCTCCTCACTCCTCCTCGTTTCCCCCGATGACTGCTCCCCTGCAGACTCTCCACATGGACGTGTGGGGCCCAGCCCGCGTCAGTGGACAGGGCCGTGAGCGGTACTTTTTGCTGGTTGTTGACGACTACTCGCGTTACACCACGGTCTTCCCCTTGCGCAACAAGGGTGAGGTCCCTGCTGTCCTGATCCCTTGGATCCACGCTGTTCGTCTCCAGCTCCGCGAGCGGTTCCGCACGGACTTTCCTGTCCTGCGTCTGCACTCTGACAGAGGTGGTGAGTTCTCCTCCGACCTCTTGCGGGACTTTTGTCACAGGGAAGGCATCCTCCAGTCGTTCACGCTTCTGGCCTCCCCGCAGCAGAATGGGATTGCTGAGCGCCGCATTGGCTTAGTCATGGAGGTCGCTCGTACCTCCATGATCCATGCGGCTGCTCCCCATTTTCTGTGGCCGTTTGCGGTCCGGTACGCTGCGCATCAGCTCAACCTCTGGCCCCGTGTCTCCTTGCCGGAGACCTCGCCCACCCTGCGTTGGACGGGGGAGGCTAGCGATGCGTCGCGGTTCCGGGTCTGGGGTTTCCGTGCCTTTGTCCGCGATACCACCGCGGACAAGCTCTCCTCTCGCGCCATTCCCTGCGTCTTCCTTGGCTTTCCCCCTGACGCGCCTGGCTGGCAGTTTTACCACCCCACCTCGCGCCGTGTCTTCACGTCCCTGGACGTCACCTTTGACGAGTCGGTTCCCTTCTACCGTCTCTTCCCCTACCGCACTGCCCCTCTTCCCCCCCCGCCATTCTTCCTCGCTCCAGGTCCCCCTCTGGTAGACCCCCTCCCCCCTCAGGGTCCTGCTCCTTCAGGTGTGTCTCAGGTAGACCCACTTCCCTTGGCTGAGCCTGTCGAGGTCACTGGTGACTCAGGTGCTGCTGGGGGTGGTCCTGCTCGGGGTGCTGCGCCTGGGGGTACTGAGCCTGAGCGTGCAGAGCCTGGGGGTGCGGAGCCTGGGGGTGCTGAGCCTGAGTGTGTGGAGCCTGGGGGTGCTGAGCCTGCGGGTGCGGAGCTTAGGGGTGCTGAGTCTGGACGTGTTGGGCCTAGGGGTGCTGCGTCTTCACTACGGGAGCCTCTCTCACCACAGCAGCTGCGTGAGTGGCTTGCTCGACGCTCCCGCCTTCGGAGTGGTGCTGCTGGAGCTGGAGGCGCCGGAGCTGGAGGCTTTGGCGCTGGCGCTGCTGGTCCTGGAGGTGCTCACACTGGAGGTACTGGAGCTGCCGGGGCTGGTGGTGCTGCTAGTCCTGGAGGTGCCGGAGGTCCTGCTGGAGCTGGAGGTACTGAGGGTATTGGAGCTACTAGTCCTGGAGGTCTTACAGGTGCCTCGCCACCGCAGTCTAGTCGGCGAGAGCCTCTCTCACCACAGCAGCTGCGTGAGTGGCTTGCTCGACGCTCCCGCCTTCGGAGTGGCGCTGCTGGAGCTGGGGGCGCCGGGGCTGGAGGCTCTGGAGCTGGAGCTGCTGGTCCTGGAGGTGCTCGTACTAGAGGTACTGGAGCTGCCGGGGCTGGTGGTGCTGCAGGTACTGGGGGTGCTGGAGCTGCTGGTCCTGGAGGTGCTCGTACTGGAGGTACTGGGACTGCCGAGGCTGGTGGTGCTGCTAGTCCTTGCTAGAGCTGGAGGTGCTAGAGGCTCTGGTGCTAGAGCTGCTGGTCCTAGAGGTGCTCGCACTGGGGGTACTGGTTCTGCTGAAACTGGAGCTGCAGGAGTTGGTGGTGTTGCAGGCTCGGGAGCTGGTGGCGCTGGCGCTGGAGGCGCTGGGGCTGGAGGTGCCGGAGCTGGAGGCACTGGCGCTGGAGGCGCTGGAGCTGGAGGTGCTTCAGCTGGAGACACTGGCGCTGGAGACACTGGGGCTGGAGGCGCTGGAGCTGGAGGTCCTAGAGCCGGAGGCACTGGAGCTGGAGGCGCTAGAGCTGGAGGCGCTGGAGCTGGAGGTAATGGGGCGGGAGGCACTGGAGCTGGAGACACTGGAGCTGGAGGCGCTGGAGCTGGAGGTACTGGAGCTGGAGGCCCTGGAGCTGGAGGCGCTGGCGCTGGAGGCGCTGGAGCTGGAGGTACTATAGCTGGAGGTTCTGTGCAGCAACGACCGTTTTTCGAGCCGCCGCCGCAGCTGTCCGAGCTTCCGCCCGAGTCGGTGCTCCGCCAGGTTCTTAGTCTTCCTTCGTCCACTGCCCTTCCTCCTGGCTCGCCGCTGCCTGTCCCGTCGAGTTACACTGAGCAGCCGGTCTCCCTTACAGAGCGTCGTGAGCCTGCGTCTCGTCCTGTCTCCCCTGTTCGCGCTGTTCGCACCGCTCGTCGTGTCCCGCGTCCGCGTCCTCCTCCTGTGCCAGGCACTCACTACATGGCACTTCGTCCTTCCTCTGCTCCACAGCGTGTCCCTCTGCCGTCTCCTCCTGCGTCCTCTCTTCCTGAGATTCCTGACCCTGAGTCTGACCGTGTTCGTGCTGCCAGCCCTACTGTCACGCGTCTCCTGGCTACTGTTGTCACTGACCCGTCGCTTCAGTCCACTGCTGCGTTTGCCTTAGTTGCTGAGCTTGTCGACTTTGCTGCTGCGTGTCGTCTAGACTACGCCGCCAGTCTTGTTGCAGAGTCTGAGTCTGTCTGTCCTCTGTCCGTCGGGGGTGAGTGTGCTCTTGGCACGGACGTCCTTGAGGATAGGCAGGAGGACTTTGAGTGTCTTGCGGCTGCTGTACCTCATCTCGTGGCCTGACTGCTTGCACCTGAGGGAGACTCGGATGCACTGGACATCCCGACCCCGCGCTCTTACGCGGAAGCGATTTCGGGTCCCTACTCCTCTCAGTGGCAGACAGCCATGGACGTAGAGATGGCATCTTGGAAGTCCACAGGCACCTACGTCGACGAGGTTCCCCCTCCTGGGGCGAACATAGTCGATGGCATGTGGATTTTCAGGGTGAAGCGGCCGCCGGGTTCTCCGCCTGTCTTCAAGGCTCGTTACGTTGCACGAGGTTTGAGTCAGCAGCGGGGAGTTGAATTCTTCCAGACCTTCTCCCCTACCCCGAAGATGACCACTCTTCGGGTACTGCTACACGTTGCTTCTCAGCGTGACTACGAGCTTCACTCTCTTGACTTCAGCACAACTTTCTTGCAGGGCAGCCTACACGAGGAGATCTAGCTGCGCCGCCCACCTGGCTTCACTGGGTCGTTCCCTCCTGGTACCCAGTGGAGCCTCCGGCGGCCAGTCTACGGTCTCCGCCAGGCGCCTCGTAAGTGGCACGACACACTGAGGACAACACTTGCGGCTCTTGGGTTTGCTCCCTCCACTGCTGACCCGTCGCTGTTTCTTCGCACCGACACTTCTCTGCCGCCGTTCTACATCCTCGTGTACGTCGACGACTTGGTCTTCGCCACTGCTGACACTAAGGCACTCGCCCTTGTGAAGTCGGAGCTGCAGACAGCAGGGCTGTAGCGGCGCTAGCAGGGGTTGTAGCGGCAGCAGCAGGGCTGTAGCGGCAGCAGCAGGGTTGTAGCGGCTGTAGCAGGGGCTATAGCTGCAGCAGCAAGGGCTATAGCGGCAGCAGGTCAAAATGGCAGTAGCAGGGGCTGTAGCGGCGACAGCAGGGGCAATAGCGGCAGCAGCAGGGCTGTAGCAGCAGCAGCACGACTGTAGCAGCAGCAGCAGGGCTGTAGCGACAGGAGCAGGGGCTGTAGCGGCAGCAGCGGGGGCTGTAGCGGCAGCAGCAAGGGCTGTAGCAGCAGGAGTAGGGGCTGTAGCAACAGCAGCAGGTCTGAAACGGCAGTAGCAGGGCTGTAGCGGCGCTAGCAGGGGCTGTAGCGGCGACAGCAGGGGTAGTAGCAGCAGCAGGAGGGCTGTAACGACAGCAGCAGGGGCTGTAGCGGCAGCAGCAGGGTTTGTAGCGGCAGCTCGGGCCTGACGGGGCAGTGCAGCGGCATTACAACGGCAGGGCAGCAGGGCAACGTGCAGGGCAGGGCGCTGCAGGGCGAGAAGGCGCGGCAGCGGGCCGCAGCTTACGGCAGGGCAAGGCAGCGGCGCTCGCGATGAAAACCCTCAGAGGCACCTCGGCTAGAAACTACACAGGCACCAAGACTGGAAACACAAGTCCCTACTTGTGCAGGCGGGAAAGGTCCTAGACGAGGTAGGTGTGACTCAACTGGGCGAACAGTTCTCAAGCGAAGACGCGAAGGCCTGTACACTGCAATCGCGTCAGGTCCAAAACGCTCACGGTGGAGATAGTCGAGGCAACCGTAACACCGGGACGCGGAATGGTCAGGACACCCGCAGGTAGTGCCAGCACCAGGGCCAGTCAGGATCCAGTACCCGCAGAGACAGACGTCGCACCCACTGCTGGCTTAGCCGCTGCTGGGGCCGGCACTCCTTGGCCCCTCAGGTCCCCACTGTCGAGAGTGCTGCAGCTGTTGTCGCTGCGGCAGGCCTTGCTACTGCAGAACTCGAGTAGACGCCATGGCAGGAGCTAGAGACGGGGTACGGGTACGGTACAGGTAGCGGGTACGTACGGTTAGCGGGTACGGGTAGCCGTGGGACCCTCTAGCTGGGGGCTGTGGGGCCTTCTAGCTGGGGGCCACGGAGCCCTCTAGCCGTAGGACGTGGAGCCTTCTAGCTGGGGGCTACAGGGCCTTCTAGCTTGAAGCCGCGGAGCCTTCTAGCTGGGGCCCGTAGGACCTTCTAGCTGGGGGGCACGGGGCCTTCTAGATGGGGGGTCGCGGGGCCTTCTAGCTGAGGGTCACGGGGCCTTCTAGCGCAGTAGCATGGGTAGCTTGGACAGAACGGGTAGCACGGGTAGAACGGGTAGCACTGGGAGCACGTGTAGTACGGGTAGTCCAATGCGGTTGAGTGCGGTTGAGTGTGGTTTTGTGTGGTTGGATGCAGTACCGGACGTGTCAGCGGGGTTGAGTGCAGTACGGGGCGGTTCTAGGGTGCAGGTCGGATAAAGGGTGCGCCAACGGGTAGCGGGTGGGGGGGGACGGGTAGCATGTGGGGCGGCGGGTAGCAGGGGGGGGCGGAAGCTCACTGAAAACAAGTCAAGTTCAATAAAGCTCGTCGCTTTCCGAATCGGAAAACCTGAAGCTCGAGTCAGAAAACTCGCGGCTCGAGAAAAAAAATTGGGATGACATGAAGCCAAAAATACGCCCTTAGTCCCCCTCGACGGGCGCCTTCTTCCGTGTTTGACGGCGCGCCTCTCGACACCTGAGGTCTAGTCGGCCCCTAAAGGATTCTCTGGCGCCCCGTGCCAGGTCGTTGTGGTGGACTAACCTGGCTGGGTCTCAGCGCCTATTCGCGGTTTGCCTCCTCCTCCATTCCCTCTGGCTGTGGATCCGCTCCCATGCCCTGCACTCCAGTGCCATCGTCTTGAGCCCGCCATGATGACGGGCAAGCGTCAAAACCCGCCCCGTCATGGCATCGTGGCGAGTGGCCTTGCCGAAGCCACCCCCCCAGAGGGCCAGCGCGGCTAGGTGCCAGCCCTACCCGGAGCCGCAACTAACCTGGTTGAGGCCGAGGCAAGTGGCGGACCTGTGCGCGGGCGTCGCGATCAGGCTGGTTCCCAGGAGCCTGTGCATCGCTCGCCACGCGGACGGGCACATCCTTATCTGCATCCAGGCAGACAACCGCTTCGCCATCCACGTCGTCCCCTCCATCAGCCATACTGCTCGAGGGGCCCATTCCGCTCCCTTCTGCAGCAACCGTAGCAACAGCAACAGCAATAGCCGCCGCCGCAACAGCAGCCCCCCCAGCTCCAACAGTCACTCCCGCAGCAACAACTACCTCCTCCTCCTCCACTTCCACCGCTTACGTAACACACAGCAAGGGTAATTCAGCAAGCAGTCACACACAGGCAACAGTGTGTCTGGGTGGTTAGGAGGGTAGGTACTAAGGGGGTGTTAGAGATAGGGGAGGGAGGGAGAGGGGGAGAGGGGGGAGGCGGGAGGGAGGGCGATGGCTCTTCTGGTCATGACTACCATCCGGACTCCTCTGCCCCTCCTGCTCATGCCCTTCAGCTATGTTGGTGCTTACCCTCTCACTCTCTCTCCCCAATCGTTTCTCCTTGGCCCAATATGTTGCTTACGCACCCTCCCTCCCTCCCTCCCTCCCTCCCTCCCTCCCTCCCTCCCTCCCTCCCTCCCTCCCTCCCAGCAGTAGCAGAAGCAGCAGGAGGGGCAGGGGGCTAGCACACGGCACAGCAGCGGCACATACGCGGCAGCAGCTGCGGAGGGCGTACGACGGGGGGCGTTGGAGGGTGTCATAACGTAAAGAAAGGGTGAGTTAGCAAAGCACTCACACGCAGGCAACAGTGTGTGGGTGGCTGGGAGGGCGGGCGCGAGAGCATGTGAGGGAGACGGAAGGGAGGGAGAGGGGGGCAGGGGGAAGGCGGGGGAGAGGGCAATGGCTCTGATGGTCATGGCTACCATCCGACCTCCTCTGCCCCTCCTACTCATGCCCTCCAATTCTGAATCTCACGCTCTCACTCTCTCCCTCTCTCTCCCCTGCCATTTCTCCTTAGCCCAATATGTTGCTCACGCACCCTCCCTCCCTCCCTCCCTCCCTCCCTCCCTCCCTCCCTCCCTCCCTCCCTCTCTCCATCCTTCACTCCCTCCCTCCTCCCTCCCTCCCTCCCTCCCTCCCTCCCTCCCTCCCTCCCTCCCTCCCTCCCTCCCTCCCTCCCTCCCTCTTTCCCTCCCTCCCTCCTCCCTCCCTCCCTCCATCCTTCCCTCCTTTCTCCCTCAGGAAATGCTTGGCTATGTTAATGCAGTAAATATACATTTGTATGTAATTCAAGCCGTAGATTTGGCAGAGGGCTTGCTATGTATAGGCGAGAATAATTGATGTGCTCTTTCAACATAATGCTGCACTGCAGCAGTGGTACGGAAGTGAATTTCAAAATTCTCGAATTTATGGCTTTCAAGAGATGTGAGCAGCAACGGCACAAGGAACATGCGCGAATATGGGACTCCTTCAAAAACTTTTACCTCTGCTGCTCTGCATCCACCAGCAACTAACACATTGTGTCCTCCCGCTCCTCCGCATCCACCAGCTACTAACACATTGCGTCCTCCCGCTCCTTCGCATCCACTAGCTGCTAAAGCGCTGCCTCCACCCGATGCTCCACATCCACCAGCTGCTCGTCCTACTGGCCCACCTCTGCCACATGCTCACACCGTTCTCCCTTCAGCAAGTCCAACTCCCGTTGCTCCGCATCCACCAGCTACCGCTTCGCACACACCAGCTGGCATGCATCCACCAAATGTGGTGTTTGGTTCAACAAGTGACACTTCGTGATGGTAGTAGCACAATGGTGCTTGCGGCAAAAGACGTGAAATGATATGCGAACCTGGGAGGCAAGCAAGACGTTGCTGCTCCACGTACAGATACTTGGAAATGTGGTATGGCGAGCGTCGTGATGACGCCCATAGTCTCTAGTATCTTTGAGTTTATTGCTTATATTTCTATTTGTGTGATTATTTCGGGACTTAACCCTAGGCACTCTTATAGTGAGCGTTGAGATGTTGGACTTGCTATCACAATAAGGTCGTTGGCGCCGCGCGCCATGGTGAGAATAAGGCAAGGTAAGGCAAGGTATCGCAAGCCACAAGAGTCGGGATTTTCTACTGATTTCCCTTCCCTGCACCATCTCCCTCCTCCGCCCCTTCTCATTCAACACAATTGTGTTGCGACCCTTCGTTTCTTTCAGTTTTCTCTTGCCCCATTATACTAGTTTCGCGAAGTGCTGACATTAGCCACATTTCAAAGCCAAAAGTGTCTTGTCGCGTGTACAATTCTCAATCGATTGGCACACCCCTTACCTTCCCATGTGGTCTCGAACTCAATTCGACAGCCGCGGGTAGCACCTGAAAGCCCCCCCCCTCTTCCTTTACCTTCACCTATGCGCATGGGACTAGCCAATCACCACCATTGTATTCACACGACCCGAGCATGCCTCTCCTATCCATACATTGCGTGAGTGGAATTTCCAGCCAAACCCAGGAACAAGTTCTTAGAGCCTCGTTTACCCCGCCCCATTCCTCGCCTAGCTTGACTCTGCCTATTTCAGCCTCGTCATTCTCCCGTAGTAATATTATGTAGTTTTGACTTCGAGTGCATTTCAGTGCAACTGAAATCCGTCCACTCATACCAACACATTCAACCACTTAAATCGCCGCACCATGTTGTCACTTGAGGCTGACATGCGAGGAGCCACGTTGTTCGATCTTTCTCTTTCCTTATACGAGACTGTCCACGAGAGACAGACAATTCACCCTACGAGCACAAACGTGAGTTACTGTACTTTCACTATCAGTGTAAGTTTTGCGAACCTGAAGTTTATCCGACAGCGTCTTCCGCAGGCGTTACACTCGTCCCCCCCTTGAAGCCAAAGTCCTCGTCGGGTAGAGAGTCGGCCCTCGTAAGGACCTCAATCTCGCTCTTCAGCGACT